TAAGGTCCGGTCTGGCAGACCCTGTATTAATTTGGGGGCTGGTGCTTGCAAAGGGCCACCTAGATACTTTCATATAAGAAGTTGTGGAGGTAAAATCATAGTAACACCTTTAAAGCACATTCAGAAGATTTCAATTAGGCAGATGTTCCTAAAACCCCTACTTAAAGCAAATACATTTGTACTATCAACTATCAGACTATCAGACAGGTTTTTTCTAAAACTTATCCCTTTTTCTCAGAAGCCAAACTCAATGAATACTGAAATAAATATTGTCACAGTCTTGCAAAAAAGTCTTCAAGTTTGTTTTCTTCTGTCATTCTCTTGAAAGAATCCTCCCTCAATCCATAGTCATATCCAACATTAAGCAAAATCAAGGGCACTTACTTATGCCAGTTTTGGGGTATCATGTTTAGGTTTGTGGATGAGTTATGGGGAAAAAAAAAAGAAGTCTTTACAGAAAATGAAAATGTCATAGTGCAAAGGTTGTCTGCATTTTGAAGTGTTCACTCAGCCCTCTGAAAATGTGTTATTTACACAATAGATTTGAATATCTGGGGAGGTTAGTGCTTCCTCACAAGTTATCTACCAAATAAACAATCTTTTCCCAAATTTCACTTTCAATTCACCCAACCAAAGAATGCCTAAACCAACTCTGATGGTGTCCAATCAGTTCTGCAACACAACAAAATAGTGAATTATCAATGTTTGGATGAATTCTGAAATAGTCTGATACTAAAATCTGTGTTCAGAATTATTCAGATAGTTAGTACACTTGTTAAAATTAAAATCTGATTGTAAATAATCTAACCAAGGGATATACCACTACTGTTCTTCCATGAATGATGAACAATGCATAGTTAGATTAAAACCAGCCAAAAAAAAAAAAAAAAAAAAAAAAAAAAAAAAAAAAAAAAAAAAGATTATTGGAGGGGTGGAGACATTTCATCTGCTCTTGCAGCTTATTATATACTTCACTGAGATCTCTCTTGCCAAACTTTATCAATGTGAAAAGTACAAAAAAGGAATCATAAAGGGGATGCAGTTTAATAAAACATATGGATCATGTTACCTTTTGTAAATGGGCATTGATCCTGAAGCCACTTCCATCTGACCTGATAAACAAATCCCCTAGAAACAAATCTACAAGAAGAAAAACTAGTTCCCTATACCAGCATTCAGTAAGGAGGCTTTAAAAGAGGAAACACTGCAGCCAAGCCTAGTATCAGTTAATCAAGCACTTGTTGAAAATTTTACTTAATTGCATATGAAAAGGATGTCACATACTGGAAGCTGGTAAATCTTCACCTGGTTACCTTGGTAAGTTTAATCATATACCCTAATTTTTCTGCATGTCTGTGGCATATTTCTGCACTTTTTTTTAACAATGTATTTTCTTTACAAGTATTTTGCTGCTGAGAGATTCTACTCATAGAAGTAACTCATAAGTACTCATAAAGAAACTCATAAGTTTCCACTTATTAAAAAAAAGCTTAGTAAATTGAAAAGAAAAAAAATCATATTTTTAATATAAGACTTCCATGAAAAGATGTCTTTAATCTTTTTTATTTCTGCAACAGAACTCTATTTGCATGAATATCTGGAAGCTCCATGCCGAGTTACAAAATTCGTCATGGAGAAGATGTGATTATTAAAAAACAAACAAAAAAAAAGGCAAAAAAAAAGCAAAGAGAATGTCTGGCCAAACAATGATCAGTCTTTTTATTTCATTACGTAGCTTAGATGTGATTGCACTTCACAAAATAAAAGTCTTGAAAGATTAAAAAGCAATAACAGCAAATCTCACAGCAATGGTATGCAATCATATCTTTGCCTAGAAGTGGAAAACAGTAACGATTTCTCATTATTGTAATTCATGATGTATCTTGAATGTGATTTTCAGTGTTTATCCATTTTAATAAGCATATGTGTTAATTAGCCTTTATCTATTAAAGAGGAATGAATAGGTGCTAATATATTTGTGGCTATTCACTACAGTTGTGAAGGAAGCTGTTTCCATCATAAAGATGTTCTTTTTCTTCCTGTAAACATCTGAATGATTGTCTCCTAGTGGCTGAAGAGTTTGTAAAAAGCAATACTTTGAACTAGCAAACTTGATGAAATAGCTTGTTTCTAATCACTTTATAAATCAATCTGATGGGACTATATAATTAGGCAAAAATCATATTCAATAACTCAAGGAAAAAGTCAACATATGTTTGAATAAACTAGCTCTAATAAATAAAAGTGCCCAAAGAAGCCAGGAATCATGAACTGTTTTAAGATTCCTCTTAGCAAACAAAGAAGCTGAATTAAAGAAGAGGTTGAATTAATCATCTTCAGTTATAAATTGAAATGTCAGTCCAGTTTTAGAGAGACTAGTCATCAAAATACCTTAAAACAGAGCTTCAGGAATCACAGAACATAAGATTATTTACTGATCAATCAACAGATAAGTTACTTTGATAAATTGTTGTCTTCATTATTTGATTACAACGTATATATAACATTTACTACAAAATACTTTTCCTACTAAAAAGAAAAGTGATTAGACTCACCTTACATAAATGTTAAACTGTATTTGCTGAAGCATTCAGCAAGTAATTTGTATTTGTGCATAAATGATTTTGCAACGAGTAGGAGTCCTGAGAGCTAGTGACTTCATTTTTATCCCATGTACAGCAGTATCACAATCTCATTTATTGATGGGGGAGTGGCAACAGGAAATTAGGTGGTTGCAGTACCAGATGAGCAGAGTTCCTAATTACACAGTTAGTCTTTACCATCTAATTAGTTCTGCTGGCTGATGCTGACACTGCTTGCACACTTGAAATTGGTGGCTGTTTAAACAGCTTGCTGAAATAGGGTCCTGAAGCTGTTGAAACCTGCATTTAAGCAGGACCAAAATGCAGGCAATTGTTTCTGTATTAGTGCACATATCTACATTATTTTGTTTAGATTTTTTTCCATTTGCATATCCTCCCATATAAAAATCCATACAGCTGTTTCTAAGAACCTTTTCTGATTACATATCCTAGGTACGCAGCTATAAATCTTTATGCTGCAAATAAAGAATGCAACAACCAAGCTCTGATTATTCTCTGGACCTGGGCGAAGAAACCTGCATCAGCACGGAACTTCTAAACAGGGAAGATGAGCTTCATAAAGAAAATGTTGTTTTCTCTGGAAGCAGCAGTCCAGAAGATGTCTTCAGTCCCTGTGAAACGCAGGCAGTATCAGTTTGTACAGACACTGCCGTGCCTCCAGGTGACTATATTCGAAGACGAGGTTATACAGAGTCTTCAATTCTGAAGCTTCCCACAGAGGAGTACATTGGGAGCCATCATGCACTTTTTCAGTTTGACCGGCATGCTTTGGCCAGAATTTCCACTTCTCCAACTTTAAGGCGTGTAAGGATGGCCTCTGCCTCACAAGCACTGTCATTTCAGGACTGCTTTGACACAGCTCAGCTGGGGAATCAAAAGGAATACACTGGCTCTCTCCACCACATTTGTAAGAATCCACCTCGCTGCACTACAACTTCCTCATTGTCATTGCCGCCTTGTGTCCATGCAAAATTACTGTCTTCCAAAGCCAAGTCTGAGACAACTATAGCAGATCCAGAGTCTGCCACCCCCAGATCAAAGCTGCCAAGCCAAAAAGATCCTCTCAGCAATGGCAGTCACAATGAGACACTCCAAAACTCTTGGAGAGCCAGCCTTGCTACACTGCCTAGGAGACTTCCCCACCCCAGCCCTACACCACAGGAGGGTGTCCAGGTAAGAGGAATAGGATGATGCAACCCCCTTTTCCATCTTGCATATTCAATGTTGGTCCATCATGGCCCCGAGCATAAGCAAAACCACAGTTCTTGATTTGAACTGCAACCTGGCCCTAGTTCCTTTTGATACAACAGACCAACTTCTACGCTCATCGGGAAGGGAGGTTTTTCCTTCCAAATCAGCAAGAGACAATGTTTCCAGCCTTGTCTCTTGGTGACCGGGTTGGTCTAGTCTGCTCCTGCACATGGCCAATCTTTACGACCTTTCTCTTTCCCACCTTTATCCATTCACCCTGGTGGGCCAGTATAACTGTTTGTGGGGCTATGAAAGAACAAGACTAAGTAATTTATCCAGTTCTGGTTTGGGTTTTAGAAGATTATTTTGTTTCCAGGGACCTTCAGCAGGGTTCCCCCTAAGCCAGGGCAGTTCTCTATTCTGTTTTACTGAAAGCATTACTAACCCAAACAAAACCAAGAATTAGTTCATCCAAGATGGTTGAGCCAAATGTAAGGTTTGCTGCTACCAGAGGAAGAGGTCCCATTCCTTTTCTTTACTTCCACTTAACTAGCTCACGCACTCACTAGACCCCTCCATTTTTATGTTCAGCTCCATAAATGAGCAGGCAATTGTGCAACCTTTTCTGAAAAATAGAAATACTGGTCCAGTGAGTGCCAGTGTCAGTAAAAGAGAAATAAGCAAGGGAGGAGCCAGCCCTCCATCTTCCACTGGCAGCAAACTACCATTTAGCTATCCCCCATAACTTCATCCCAAGGAGAAAAGGAGAAGCACTGCATTAGCCAGGTTTATGACTAGATCTACTCTCAAAGACCCTGCATTACTTGCACAAGCAGTTAAATTCAGACGCATGCTTGACTCCATCCTTAGGCAAAGCACCTACACACACACTTCACTGAACGTGGACAGTGTGAAATAACTAACCAGTCGGTTTTGTGCCACTGACCAAAAGCTATTTTTGCCCCCCTTCAAAATTAGAAAACATTCAGGATATCAAATGAGTTCTCTTCCTTTCTCCACAATAGTTAAAATAATTAGCCAATGTCTAAGCCTATGTAGTACATTTCTCTTAACAAATAAGTACTTTTTTCACAAACTCAGATTGCTTGCTTGCTTTCTGACCAAGTAACAAGAATATCTCGCTTTCTTTCAGAGTGGATTGCCTATACAAAGGTATGCATGTATTTGTTTTACCTTATTCTAAGCTTCACTTCTATAAATTTTTAATGAATCTGCTTCACTCTAAGACAAAACTGAATAGTGAAGCATGTATGTGTAACTCAGCTTTAATCTGTAGATTTGCTTTGTGAAATGCCTGTCACCAGCTTGTTAAACTAAACTTTTAAATGAGATTTTCTTTCAAACGTGACCCTCTCCCTGACACATTTAGCTGTATTTCACACAATATTTCAGCTGGACCATTGGAGAGCTCTGCACTAGGAACTAACTGCCAAAAGATCTGGCTGTTTGGATTAGCAGTGTCAAATTTCAGCTTGAAGAATGTGAAATATCTCATAATCTTGAGCGACATTCTTCAGAACTTTGTGGGAGGGAAAATGGAGCAAAGCAGCTAGCACAACAGCTCGATATTGTTCTCATACGTGAACAAAGCAGATCCAGGACTGCTACTTGAGGGGGGGGGGAAGGGGGGGGGTATTTTTAATCCTACAAACTAAGAAGAATACTTGAATTTTATAAGTTAGTGCAGGCAAGATAAGGTGTTGTGCACTGTAGATCTGTGCAGTGAATTGCATCAAGCTCTTACAAGCAATTATTAGAAAGTAAAATCTTGAATAGAAATGAGTTTGATTCAGCCATGTTTGTTTCCTTAAGGTGTTCAAATGTTTACAGAAGGGAAACGAAGTTTATTTTCTTCCCAAACAACAAGGAAGTAGGAGCTAGTACCTCCCTTAATAACCATACCTCTCTCACTGATGGTGCAGTGCTCACTTCACTGCATGAGCCCTTTGAAGATTTCAGGTGGGGCATGAAGGTGAGTGAGGTATATTAAAAGCACTAGCAGGGGTGAGCAAGGCTTGGGGAAGACAGAAATAGCCTCACAACAAACGGCAATACACTGGCTTTTGTGTCTCTACCATAATATGTTTCACTTCTTAAGGCAGTAGACATCATTAGTAGATCTGTATCTCCTCTTCTTCCCAATGTTTACTTATTTTTCAGGTGAAAGCTCTATTATAACCAGCAGTTTGCAAACAGGTCTGTGTTTGGGACCGGGTATGTTGGAGCAGGCTGATACAATCTATGAGTCTTCACACAATGCAGTTCCCTAGACAAGGCTTAACAGACGTGTGTGTGTGTGTGTCTACATGTTCACAGTAGAAAAGGTTTCCTAGATTTTCTGAATTGTTGCAATTTCCAGCCCACTCTTTAGCATTTTGAATTTACAGTAGAAAAGGGGAGAGAGAGATGGAGAGAGGAGAGAAGGGAGAGATCTTTGCATCTTGGTGTGAAAACAGGTGATCTGCACCTCTTATGGGAAGAATCTGCATTGATCAAACTCAGAATTATAATACATAAGCATATCTCACTGATCAGATGAAGATGTGTGTGATCTATAGTAAACTTCAGGGGCGAATTTGAAGAATCTGAATGCAAATGGCTAAACAGGAGAACATCGAACACTTAACGTACACGCCTTCTCTTGGTGCCACTTGCCTGTCAGATTCAGAGGGAAGCCACTATATGCCAGCTAGGATATTGGCTCTGGTCTTCTATCCAGACACATTTTAAAATCAAGAAATCACACAGGGAACAATGCAAGCTTTATTCCACAGCCACCAGCAGGAAAGACTGATAAAACAATGTTTGGATGATATATGATGATTTTATTTCTTGTCCTGACCAATATTAGCATGTACAGAAATGTAAAACAAAAATCACCAGTTTCTGCTTTAAACTTTTTTGTCAGGTTGAATTTGGTCCAAGGTTTGGGCAAGGGCTGTGGTCAGCTCTTCCTTTATCCAAATCATTAGTCTAACTCCTTAACAGCTAATCCCTTCTTATGACAGCCAGAGAAAAATGCTGCAACATCAGATTATTCTCTGTATGTAAGAGTGCATTGGGACAATTGGCAATCCTCCTTCAAGACTGACATATATCACCCAGAGTAAAAACATAGAATCATAGAATCGGTTAGGTTGGGAAAGACCTTTAAGATCATCCAGTCCAACCATTAAACATACCTCCATCCTTCAGTTTTAATGAACACCTCCCCGCTCCCAGGCTGTACTTTCAAAAGCCTTTCTTAAAGCAGCAATGCTCATTTTAAACAGCCTTCCCACACACAACCCTCAGTCAGGAATGCCAGTACATCTCTGTCGGCATGGCAACATGCTGAACAAAAATAACCAGCCAAAATAAACAAAAAGGACCAGAGGGGAAGCACAGAGAGAGGTGTGCATTGTGGAGACAGGGTGAGATGCTAAAGCCAACACTCCTGTGGAAGGAAACATTGGTAAAACAAAACCTTTAGTTTACTCTGAGCTCATTTTCTCCTTGCCCTGTTCAGCATATCTGAGACTGGGTGCAAAACCGGATTGCACTATTTCCTAAAGACAACCAGCTAATGAGAAGTCCTCTCAGTAACTGCTAAGGCAGCTCATTTTCAATGAGTTGAGGGAGCTGGGCTCATCTACCTTTAAGTGCTCCTCTTCCTCTTTTAGTGTCTCATATGCCCATAAAGTGTCATGCTAACTCTTTGAAGCAGGGAGTCCAAATACACTCCCTGAGTGGCTTGGGTAACAGTGTCATCACCTGGCAGCTGTCTCAGTACTGGACTACCCTATAATGTTGACCCTTGTAACCTCTTCAGTTGCTTTTATTCTCATCTAGTAGGCATTCCTTTTAAAAACATATCTGTTATTTAAGTAAGGTGATTTATATAGGCATGTATTCCCTGGGACATCTAAAGGTCTAGTTAGCCTAAGATTATGAACATATCAAGATACAGACATCTAAAAAGCAATCAACTGAAACTCTCCATGCCCTAGAAAGAACTATATACCCAGGATATTTGTTTTTCCAGACCATGAGCTGCTTCAGTGTCTTTAGTAATTTTCCATAACTTTGTAATACAAACCTGTAACATTACCTTGTTTCACAAAACAAGTAGATTTAAAGGAGGAACTACAGCAGATGATATCTGCTCAGGTGTTTGAGTTCATCCCTGAAGTATAAACATTTATTTCACTCAAGCACTTCAGCCCCCTGCCTCTAATGAGAAAAACAAAAAAAAAACTAAAGAAAAAGGCAAAGCTACAGCATCTGCAGGCTTGAAAAGATGGTAAAATATTGCATACAGATTCAAAAACTGATAAATTACATCACACAGCACTTCAGTAGTCTCATTTCTCCGGTAAAATCAAGAGGAGCATCTAATGTATCTAATATGTCTACAGGCATCAGGCCAGGTGATCACAGGTCCCTGTACCTTCATCTGTGAAGCATGAGTACATAATTTAGACATGTAAGTCATTAATCAGACCAGGCATGTCAGATTGCAAAGGTATATTGTAGATATACATCCAAGTGCTCCCACACTTCACAGGCTTGCATACCTATGTGAAGAGCTTGTTTAGATACATGTGTGTCTGAAATGCAAGGCCTTTTTGATCTAGGGAAATTACACCATTTACCTCTGTTACAATGAAACTGTGCTTCCCATTCCTAATCTTCATAAGCGACTAGCCTCCAACTTCAAAATACTCTGCAATTGAAGTAAGCTAGATATTTCTCAATTTTGGGTGAAAGTTCTCAATTTTGGGTGATGCTAAGCGGAGGGGCAGCA